AAACAGGAAGATTTGATAAGGTGTTTTTGATGAGAGTTTATCGTCCTCCCTTGAATAGCAAACTTGCCTTCCACCCAGATAGCCTCTTCTCAAATTAAGTAACAATTGGATCTCACGTCTTCACAGCTTTATATATAGCACCCAAAGGCATGCCCAACTACTTAATCAGTAGCTTCACTACCTTATAGCCAAAAACTTTTGCTAACCAGGTAGTGTCATTCCATCACCCAACTTAACCATGTCAAACTTTGTGAGGTTAATATTCAGGTTAGAAATAGCTAGAAACAAAGTAGAACACATCTTAGGTTGAGAAGAGAATTAACATCCGATGACAAACTACCAAAATATCATTCGCAAAAACTAGGTGTGAAACCTCTTCAGCCCCTTTCTCCTCTCCCAGTATTAGCCCTTTGATCAAATCCAAATTCTTGACCCATAAAAACAATTTGTTTAAAACCTCCATGACAATAATAAACAAAAAGGGGGATAGTGAGTCCCCTTGTCTGATACCTCTAATTGCCTTGAAGAATGACGAAGGTTCCCCATTCACCATGATCACGAAGGAGGATGTAGTGACACAAGCATTAATCTACTTCCTACATTTTATTCCAAACCCCATTCTTGTGAGCATCTAGTCCATAAATCCCAAATTGATATGCCCATAAGTCTTTTCCATGTCTACCTTACACAACACCCCACCTACTCTTGCATAAATATACATAAAAAATGAAATCACAATTCACCAAGAGAAATTATTCTAAAAATTTACATGGTATCAGACTTTCTCATCCAAAATGAACTACAACACTAATATTGTCATGTCTTCCACTTCTTTTTCCTTTTTTCCTTCCAGAAATTCTTTTCTTTTTTCCTCTTTCCCTTCATTTAGAGTTTCCAACATAAGAAATTAGGTCAGTGAACTCTAAACTTCACTTTCTTAGATATGAAATCCTTGTTCATCTCATCTAGGTTATGGCATACTTGAACACGTTGATGGCAAAAGTGTTCGTCCTCCTTTAATGGATACAAATGAAGCAGGCAAGGAAGAACCTAACATAGATGCTCTTCTCTGGAAACAACCCGATTCTTTTATCCTTTTTTGGATCGAAGCCATTGTTTCCTCTGATAACCTACGTAGTTTGCTCAAACCCAATCAGACATTAACCACCCATCCAACATGGCAAGAGATTGAAAACCTTCTTCATGATCAACCACAAGCCCCACTCCACCTAAAATATGAGTTCTATATTACCAAGTAAAATGACCTCTCCATAGATGTCTACCTCCAAAAGCTTAAAACTTTATACGATTTGCTTATTTCCATATTCAATAAGAGGATCTTTTATTTCAAATCCTTGAACGCTTATCTATTGATTACAAAGACATAGTTAAGGATTTTCTACTAGCAAAGAGATAATAATTGTTCTATTCAGTTCGCACCATTTAATTTTTGCGTTAAGGATCTAACAACATGGCTCAAATTGTCCAGGTGATACATACTTCTTCCTCTCTCACTGTCATATCCTCTTCTAGCAAAGCTCCTCTAAAATCCGCCAACTTTGCATCTACCATGTAAGAATTTTGGCATCAGGATTTTGGTCATTGAGGTGTCTCCACATTAGCAAAAATAAAGTTCTTACCAACAACACCTCCTTTGGGATCCATCTCTGGAGTTTCTTCTTGTTCTGCTTGTAATTTAGAAAAGAATATTAGACAAACTTTTCCTACTTCTCATGTCAATAGTTAATCCATTTGAAATAATATACATTGATGTTTGGACATGTCTTATTCCTTCCTTTCCATGTGTTTGATATTCTGTTATTTTTCTAGATAAATTCACTTATTAAATTTAGGTCTTTCCTTTAACACAAAAATCTCAAGTTTCGATACTTCCATACATTTTTATAATTTATTTCTTGCTCAATACAATCTTATAGCCAAGAATTTTCAATGTGATGAAGGTGGTGCATCTCTAAATAAGTAATTCTCAGATTTTGCCTCTCAAAATGGTCTACACACAATTTTCTTGTCCCTACACTGCAGGAAAATGGTAAAGCAAAACCCACGCATGGAACATTAATTGGAATGGCTCAAACTATCCTAATTCAAGCTTCCATGCCACCAATATTTATGGCTGAAACATAGCAAACTTGTCTCTATTTGTTGAATCAATTGCCACCAGTTACAACCTCCCACGTAACACCCTTCAAGATGTTGCTCCGCCAGCACCCAGAATTCTCGTACATGTATTTGGTCGCAGTTATATTCCTAATTTAAGGCCATAAGATCCCATGAACTGTCACTTCTATCCGTTATTTGCATGTTTGTATGCTATGCTGCAAATCAGTTATTTTCAAGAACATTATTTTCTATTTTCAAATCCAACCCCAGATCATCCTTTCTCGGCTACCTCCCTTAATTTTTCTCCTCCTTTCTCTCAGCTCCTTATCTTCTTCCTAACCAAATCTTATCATTATCTTCAGCCTCCTCAAACTTGAATTCATCCTATCAAAAATTATCCTTCCATCAAGCATGCTCTGCTTCAAATTTTAAACACTCCTATGCACTACATATATTATCTCACACTTAAACTTCCAAAACCCTGATAATATACGGTCGCAGAGAGTTCAAACTTCTGATTTTCTCTCCAGCTATCGATTCTCCCTTTGCCCTCTGCTAATTTCTTATCCAGCTCCAGTTGTCGCACCCTAATCTTCTCATCTGCCACCCTTTTCTCAATCCAATCATCTCATCTCAATCAGAATCCAATCATCTATCTCAACCAAAAGTCCCAATTCAAATTCATCCTCATCTGTTGTCACAACATCCATGCATAGTGTGGTCACCCCAACCCCAGAACTAGACATAACAAACTAAAAATACTCTCTACCTTTGTGGTCGAGCTTCCTTCAAATTCCACCAATTCCAACACTATTCCTCTTGAACCTAAAACCTTTGTTGAAGCAAAAAAACCACCTATTTGGAAACGGGCAATGGCAACTGAGTACAATACTTTAAAGGGAAATGAATGGTCCTTGGTTCCTCCTCACCCTGGTATCAGTATTGCAGGGTCTAAGTGGGTCTCTTGTGTCAAAGATAAGTCATGTGGAACACTTAAATGACTTAAAGCCAAATTAGTGGCACAAGCTTTCAAGCAACATTTGACTGACTATGATGAGACATAAAACCTAATAACGAAAAGCAAATCAATTCGTCTCAGTCAATGCCTTGTTGTCTCTTTTTTGTGGCCAATTCATCACTTGGATGTCAACAATGCATTTCTCCATGGTTACTTAAAAGAATATGTTTACATGCACCAAAAGCAGGATTTTAAAGATCCTGAACATCCAGATTATCAAATATTTGCAGCATTTATTTTTTCCCTTGGTTTCCATGGCAACATAGCAAGCAATTCCATATTTCTTTATTGAAGCAATCACGGAATGGCCATTACCTTGCTTTATGTGGATGACAACATCCTCACTACCTCTGAAAAATTTGTTGCAAAG